AGATAGATAGATAGATAGATAGATAGATAGATAGATAGATAGATAGATAGATAGATAGATAGATAGACAGATAGACAGATAGACAGAGAGATAGACAGATAGATAGATAGATAGATAGATAGATAGATAGATAGATAGATAGATAGATAGATAGATAGATAGACAGATAGACAGATAGACAGAGAGATAGACAGATAGATAGATAGATAGATAGATAGATAGATAGATAGATAGATAGATAGATAGATAGATAGATAGACAGATAGACAGATAGACAGAGAGATAGACAGATAGATAGATAGATAGATAGATAGATAGATAGATAGATAGATAGACAGATAGACAGATAGACAGAGAGATAGACAGATAGATAGATAGATAGATAGATAGATAGATAGATAGATAGATAGACAGATAGACAGACAGACAGACAGACAGACAGATAGATAGATAGATAGATAGATAGATAGATAGATAGATAGATAGATAGATAGATTGCCTCTCATTGCCAACTTTGTTTAGTTGGACAATATGCTGCTTTGCGTTTCGTTTATTTATTCCATCGGCACCCTAAAAAGAGTAAAGAAGAACCTAAAAAGCTGTGTAAAAAGGAGTGGACAAACACAAGTGGTATACCTATTCCATGAGGTAAAGGGCGCAGTCTCTCTCTCTCTCTCTCCCTCTATTTGTTCTCAGCTCTCTCTCTCTCCCTCTCTCTATTTGTTTACGTCCGTATGTGTGCGTGCGTGTGCCCTCTCTCTCTCTCTCTCTTCCCATCTCCCTCCCTCTTTTCCCCCCTCTCTCCCTCCCCCTCTCGCTTTACAGGTGCGCACACCAGTGTGATGCATCATCATTTCTGGCACACACGCCCTGCCCTCCATGTCATCGGGATGGACGTGTTAAAGCGGATGGGAGGCTGCCTCTTACTTTTGCTCGTTGCCATCATTTTTGATATCATCGGTGTCGTCGTGCTCTTCGTTGGGATTTTCGCGAACCTGCGCATTGACGGACAGTTTTACGGCGACTTCTTGATCTACACGGGCTCCCTGGTGGTTTTCCTAAGCCTCTTCCTTTGGCTGCTGTGGTACGTTGCCAACATCCAGGTGCCCGACCGCTACTTTAACCCGTATGACAAGAACAGCGTGGTGGAGCGACTGGCGAGGTCCATGTCCAGAAAGATGAGCCAGAAACCTGGAACGGTGAAACGCGTCAAACGCGCAGAGAACGGCGACGAGTCTATGAAGACTCCCGCGCACAAGGCCAGCAGGGTGACATGGGGCAGAAATTCGGCCTTCCATAACGAGGGCTTTTGCGGCGATGACGGTTGCAAAGATTATGAAGGAGAATCAGTGGACTCCCCCACTCTGGAAAAGAAATTGGCGAAAATGGAGAGCGAAAAGGGATACCAGGATTTGCCGCCCAATCACGTTGTTGATGAGTGAGATCTAAAAAAAAAAAAAAAGTTTTGTTTTTTTTTTTAGAAGAAAAAACAATAAGGAAGTTCTGCAGCAGTAGCGTCCAGACAGGGCCGTATCCAAGTCTAAAGGTCCTTTAAGCACTTTGTAAATATTTTCTTACTTTATCAACTATGATCAATAAGCAATGCTCTAAGCATGTTTTTTTTTCTCCCCCAAATAAAAATATATATTTATGAAGAATTTCTCAGCCCACTTTATTGCAGTTTTTTTATGGAAATGCATTTACGGTATCCACAATATTGTAATTTATTTGCCATGTTCCACAGCTTCAAAGGGTTTTTGGGTCTTTATCGTCCTTCCGATGTTAGACTTTTAAGGACTCTTGATTGAGGATAATACTAGCTATCTGCTATCTAGGGGAAAAAAATTGGGATTGAAAGTTGCTAAAACAAAAGATAAAATGTATATATTTTAATTTGACATATCTATCTGCAAATACATCCTTGTACTATTACCGATAAATGTTTTAGTGTTTAGTACTGTCAAAAAACATTCTTCTAATAGTTTAGTAATGTTTTACCGAATATATGTATATATATATATGTATATGTATATATATATATATATATATATATATATATATATATAAACATCAACTAACACAGTTCCTGTGTTGAGCACTACTGCCTCCGATCACTAGGTGGCAGCAACTCATATAGTGGTTTGTACAGATAACAAAGTACATATTATCAGGTTTCTCAAAAGTATTTTAATTCAGGGGTCCGGGGTGTCGTAGATATCATTTTAAGTGAAAAAAAAAACATCTTCTACGCCTCTTGATTTTTTTCAAATGCAAATTTATAGCTTTAATTGTAGCCTTCTGCTTTGAACCCACCCAGGGACAACATTCAGGCAGCTGTAACGCCTCAAATTGACCTATTTGTCGTTCCATAGTGTAGTGGTTACTGCACCTGTCCTACACTATGTCTGCCTCAAGCGCCAGAGGAATCACATACTGTACATAATGGCGCCTGCTGTGGCAGCCCGTGTGGGTTGCAAAGGAATGGCGAAATCGCCAATTTCCTCTGTGAAGTTTTCCAAATGAAAATGCTCTTCAGAGGTGTTTCCATATTGTCTGAAAAAGCTAACGTATCCATTAAAAAAAAAAAACGGACACTAAAATAATATTTTGTAACACAGGATTTAAAGAACAGGTATTTTTTTATTTATTTTAGAATGACCTACAGTAAGTCACTTGCATGTGTTTTGTAAAAATCCACCTATTTTAAGGTATTTACAGTATATAGAGGTTAGGGTTAGGGTTAACTTAGGGTTAATTTAATGAATCCTATATGTAAATGTTTAAATGAATTCGTTTTTTTTGCTAATACCCAATAAGAAATACCGTAATTTCCGGTCTATAGACGCACCTGAAAATAAAATAATAAGCTGCACCCACTAAATTTAAAAAGAAAATAATAATTGTACATATATAGGCCACGCATTCCTATAAGCAGCAGGTGTCCCAGTTGTAAACATTATTTTTGGGGTTAACTCCCTTCACTTTGTGTGAAAAAAAAATCCATAAATTAGCCACGTCATTGTTTAAGCCGCAGGGTTCAAAGCCTTTGCAAAAAAAGTTGGCTCGTCTTTATTTTTCATTTCAAATCTTCATATGATAAAATATATATATATGCTATATTAGTATATATATATACATATATACATATACATAGCTTTCTACATATAATGTACTATAACTCTTAGACAACCGTTTTTGCGAATGACATCAAATGTGTCTCGATGCAGTGACTGTGACAAAACACAGATGTCAACATCACCTGTTCTGTGTTAGCTCTCAACTGTATCTTCCTACTGTGTCCAGAAGGACAAATATTATGGTGTCTTTGTCAAATACACTTGATGTATTTCCTTTGGGGGCGGTCCCTGTAGCTTCTGCTGACGTTCACGTGAAAGAGCAGTTGAGCTGTGCAAACAAAGCACTCTGGATAGACTGGTTTTGTTCCTGGTGGTGTTTGTTAAACAAATGCTTGAAATCACACTGAGGCCCGGGAACTGTGATGATTAAATACTTCCTGAAAACTAATAGTAAGTACTAAAGTACTAAAAAAATATAGCTGAAAAAGCTGAATTTTTTTTTATGAATACCATGTGGTTATATATCCAATTTACCTGTATGTTTATTGATTTACATTTGGAGTACGTGCCAATAATCTCTTCAAAAAAAAATCACATTACACATGTAGAAACTCTTACATAATAACTTGTAACTTTTAACGTTAAAAAAAAAATGTATGACAGCGTACTTGCTACAGTAGAGTGTGCCAAAAAGAGCATCCAGTCCCTTGTATACTAAGACTAAGACTAAGAAAGTATGTGACACCGCATTACTACTGTCTGTAGTATAGTGGGGAGAAATATACTACTGTATTTTCTGGACTATAAGTCGCACTTTTTTTTTTATCCTTTGGCTGGGTTTGTGACTTACACTCAGGTTTATAATTATATATTGAAATACATTATTTCATATGTTTGTTATTTTCACACTGACAGCCGCTAGAGGGCACTCTAGGTTTGTGTATCAGTATCCGCTACTCTTATGCCACTGAAAATGTACACGTTATTTTCAAGTTGCGCTTTTTCAAACATTAAGTAAGCTTTCAATGACCACTTTAAATGACTTAAAGGGTTGAATCCAGGCCATGGACCTTAAATTGACACGTGTGCCCTTGAGAGACCTGAATCAGAATCAGAAATATTTCACTGATTCTCATTTGGCAATTGTTGGCATCACTGCACTTGCCGAAGGATTTCGAAATACAAAGAGAATATATATTTGGGTATTGTTTATTTATTATTATTTATATTATTGTATTTATTATTTTTATTGTGTATATATTCATTTTGGACTTACTATATTTTGTAACTACTACTATATAAAGAGATACAGGTTTTTATATTGGATAGTTCAATAAATATATATTTCTGGGTAATATTATATTTCCAAAAAAAAAAAAAAAGGTGTATCGTCATTATAACGATAACATGCAACACAGGGTAATGTTGTCTATTCCTACAAATGCTCCTGTGTCGGACCAGCATCACATGGTTCTAGTGTAAATCCCTGTACAACTCAGCAACTTGAACTTTGACAACACTTCACTGAGTCAAACTCAAGGCCCAGGTGCCAAATATGGTCCGCCAAGTCATTTTGTATGGACCGCGGAGGCTGAAAAAGCATTTGATATAAAATTTCTTAACCCGATAAATTAAAAAGTACAGCGGAACCTCGAGATACGAGCACCTTGACATACAAGTATGTATGTATGTATGTATGTTTGACAAAAAATGTCAAAAAAAAAAAGTCCAATAAATGCATCATTTTATTTGGACTTTTAGAGCTACCAAGCGGTGGGGTGCCAATTCTTGAACGATAACAAGCCTCCAGCCACTAGGGGGCAGCAACTCATACAGTGGTTTGTACAGATAGAAAATATACACGTTATCAGGTTTTCAATAGTATTTGAATTCGGGGGGAGGGGGGGTGGAGGATCAGGAAGGGGGCGTGAAAACATTTCTGTCCTCAAGGGGGACAAGGGGGGACGGGCATGACAGAAAATAATTGAGAACCACCGGTGTAAGGCAAAGTAAGTGTAAGGGTCTCAAACTCTACTTGTTCTACTCTACCGGGTTACGCAGACAGCCGGGTAATTATTTTTGAGCTTTGCTGCCACCTAGTGACGGGAGGCTTGTTTTATCATTGTTGTGTTCAGTTACCTGTTTGTATAAGGGTCACCGGAGTGCGCTATAGAATAAGTTGCTGAGAAGAAGAAGTGTTGTACGGAAGAAGAAGAAGAATAAAAGACGTTGCCGTTCCTTGCTACCGTGTGAGATTGAGAATTTATCCACCTACATCAACATCGACAACCTCTTCCCTGTGGAAACGCCGGCTGTACGGCGGATGACAATCAAAGATCCAGTCCATTGAATGTGCATCCACACATCTGTAACCCAAGTGACAGGCAATAGCATGGCATGTCCCAATCAGTGACGAAAGTTGGTGAGAAACAAGTTTGACCTGCAAAGGAATGAAGATGTCAAGTGGTTTTTTTCCAAGTTGCTTAACCTGTTGCGGAAGATATGCCACAAAGGCTATGAACGAAATGCCAAGGTGTGTTTGCGTCATTGTGAGAAGTGTTTCCGAGAGATAAAGGAGCAGACAAATCGACATTCGTTCTCACTCCCATCAAGACTCCCATCGAGACAATTCCTCTGTGTCGGTCTTTATCCTACATCGCAAAGATGCAGCGGGGAAGTTACACCAAGTTCTTCCTAACCCTGGCTTTGATTATGGACATTGTTGGACTGCTTCTCTTTTTCATCGGCATCTTTGCGCCTCTAAGTTTCTGGGACTTTTTTGTAATCTCTGGTCCTTTGCTCATCTTCCTCAGCCTGGTATTATGGATATTCTGGTACATTGGGAACCTGACTGTGTCGGAAGAAGAGCTCAACCTGGTCAAACCGGACATACTGTGATGTCCACGGACAGAGATGGAAATGAGTTATGGACATCCAAAGTGGAGTGTGGGTGCATTAAAAACACTCAGTGCATTCAAGCGACACTCTCATCCCTCTCGGCAACATCTCTGTGGCTTCTGGCAAGAGTCTGGTTTACGTCCGAATCAGATTCCACCAAAAGGTCTGTCTGACTCACAACAATCATGGATTGGACCTAGGATGGCAAAGTCTTTAAAATATAAAAGCAAATCAGCAGGGAAAAGTACCGTCATTTTCGAACTACAAGCCAGTACTTTTTTTTCACCCGCTTTGAACCCTGCGGCTTAAACAATGATGCGGCTAATTTACGGGCTAACGAAGTTCATACCGCTAGCAATCTATGACTTTTCTGGTAGGCTACTGTGTCTTATACCAGTAGCGTATTGCTGTCTGTGAATGGCTGGGTGTGGGGCGCGCTAGAGAGAAAATGGTAGCGGAAGTTGAGAGCAGTCTGAGCCGTGTCATGTTGAAGCACGAGTTGTTAATACAGGAACTGTTGAAACGCCGTTCATGTTCTGTTGTGCCCGCTGTGGCTGAAAATAAAGACTCCAACTTCCCTGTTTTTGTTTACCTCTGCTGAGGACAAAGCACAAAGTTAGCCCCGCAGCTAATGAAAGCGCTAACGTATAACCAGCCGTGTTACAGGCACTGTTCCAAAAAAAAAATTTAAAAAAAATTATTAAAAGTGAAAAAAAAATCTTTCTGTGTAAATATCCCATGTTACAACGTTGATAATAATAATATAAATAATAAGCACCTTTAAAAGGAAAGGTATTAGTTCCCTTTCTTGATTCTGCTCAACACCAATTTTAATAACTCAAGCCTCCAAAGGGCTAAGCTTGTTTTGCATCTGAAAAATGTATCTCATATGTTTTGGCTGTGTGTCCGGGAGACTGGACATCGACTAAAACATCACGGACAAAACACCCCCTCCAATGTCGGTTTCCATTTAATGTCCTCAAGCTTGGTCAAGCACCTTTTTTATCTGTTTTATCTGTGTCTTTAAAACAGCTCGCGAGTGGACACTGGGAAGAATCAGAGCTGCCAAAGGAGACGGGAGTCCTTCGTCCATTTTTCTGATGTAGAAAGAAAAAAAAAAAGAACTGGAGCCTTCAGAGCAGTCTGTGAGCACAACTGATTTTAGTGTGGATATTCAAACAAGAGTCTGGAACACATTTGAATCATCCTCACTGATTACAGATAAATGTTGCATTCAGCGCTCTTGACTCGAGGGAAACTGATTATTGTGTGAGGACTGCATTTGTCAGAAATGTTTCTTTCCGCTCTTTACAGGAAAACATTCAAACTTTCCGAATGATAAAAATGTGTGTTTCGTTGTCATTCTTTACCTGGGTAATTGGTGTTATGTACTGTGGTGTATCTACTTGTGTTAAACTGGTCAAACGGGCAGTACGGCTTTGATAACCACAAAAGAAACACCCAGTTCCCGTTTGTGACCATCAATGAGGAAACAAAGAGAGACGTCTGAACACTGAGGTCACATGTCAAATGAACACTAAAAGCCAAATCATTTTAGATTGAATTTTTACTGGTGAAAATCTAATATAAATTAATTTAACAAATGAATGCCGTCAGGTTGGATTACTAATCTTATATTTACCTTTTTTTAATGACACTTGGTTGTTGATGTTTTCAACACATTATGCAAAACTGATTTTGTGTACATTTATTGTAGGTCTACGTACTTTGATCTTTAATTCATGCCTCCTTCCAAAGTGTCCGTTTGTGTAGCACAGGCATGGGCAAACTACGTTTGACTTTTCAATCTGGCCTACCAAACTTATCCATAAACCATGTTATTAATTCATATTATCATTATACGTCTGCCTTTTCCCTGAAATTTCCGCATTCCCCCAGTAGATTGTGTGGAATCAATCAAAACCATTTTTAGCCTTTATGCATGACTTTTACATGTCTTTATCTGGGAAGGACCCACTTATGACTTTTACATGTCTTTATCTGGGAAGGACCCATTTTGGCCCGCAAGTCAAAACGTTGGTTGGTGTAATAGAGGTTTTGTAATAGGCCAAAATATGGAAATGTGTCTTAAAAAAAACAAAACATTTGTTCCGCATTGTTGTTGATTTTGCAGGTAACTAAAATAATCCCGCCTCACGCACTGGTTTACGTCAAGTATATTACCACTCCTACCTGAGCGAGGATCCATCTTCACAGTCACGTGACTACCGGATTGCGCATGAACGACACAGAAGCTTAGCACAGTGTTGAATGAACACTATACGCACCGTCATGCTATGCAAACACTTGTTGCACTAAAGGTGAAATGTGAGCTATAACAACAAAGAAAATCTAATAAATATTTATAAAAATGAAATTCTTAAAACAAATGTAAAATATATAGCATTATTAGCTTAATCAGGCAAGTAGAAGTAACTCAAACTGCTATTAAAACCCACCTGAGAAATAACAGAAAATGTCAGGCAAGTAGAAGTAACTCAAACTGCACGATTTTTTTTATATATATATGTGTATGATGCATGCAAGACTCCTACTGCTATTCCAGTCTGACTCTATATATATATGTGTGTGTGTGTATGATGCAATAATAATAAGCATGCAATAATCCTATTGCGATTCCAGTCTGACTATGAGCAAAAATAACAAAGATAGTAGTATTTAATTACCCAGCTAAACCCTACTCAATACCACTGTAAGACGTTTAAAGATTTACTAAAAAAAAAAAAACGAATAAATGCGCTTGCTAGTAATACTAAGTTGGCAAAAGAAAAAAAAAGCAAGGCGGATTTATTCACTGTGAGCAAGTGAAACTAATACTCCTTCTCTTTTGCCACCACACCCATCGTTTTCCAATGCTGATCAGCACTCAAGGCACCATTAGCTCCCTCAGACATGCGGAGTGGTATTAATGTGTCGATTTGGCTGCTGCCCCCGGGGGTTTGGAGAGGAAATGGAAGGGAGGCATAATGGTTGTCTCTCCTTCTCTCGACAAAGTAATGGAAACCCCACTGCTCAGCGCCTTGTTCTCCCCAAAGGATTCTGAAGACTCATCTTCATAGTATATGCCTTTAAAAAGCCATAATCACAATTAGTGTATAGCATAATAATCTGTCCTTTGGGAGATTGCAGATAACGCAAACAAAAGTACTTAATTTACATGCAAAGTATATTTAATTATACTATAAATACTAAATACTGCACACGTAAAAGTTGATTTAAAAAAGGGAAGAGTAAAAGGGTTTTACCTGTAAAACAAAATAATTAATAATAATCATCATCATCGTCATTGTTATTCATTATTAGTAATATTGCTATTATTTTTTATAGGCACATTTATGAAAACAGGAAAATGTTGTTTGTTCTTATTTACTAAATACGCAAAACAGATATTTAATACTTTGATTGAGCTAATTAAACTTTGAGGGAAAAGTACAAAAGAACGTTGCGTGGGTGAGCGTTTACTGGTAACGTTGTCATCTGGACCGGTTCAGTCTAACATGGCTGGAGAGATCATGACATCATCGACGGGCGTCAATGAGGGAATATCGCCCTCCAGTGGTGGAGAAAACAAAAGCTAGGGAGTAGTATCATGTAAATTTTTTGAATTTTTTGGGAGTAGTATCATGTAAATTTTTTGAAAGCCCACTAGATCTGAAGTTGTATGAACAATTTCACATATAAACTATCATTTAATTGTTAGTGAAAAATAGATGACTTTAATGTCATATTTTAAATCACTGTTATCATTAATCAAACACTATATAGTTATATATAATATATAATATATTATGATATATATTATATATTTATAATTTCTGTATCTAAGTGTGTTCACAGTAATTTTACATTTTAGTGAAGTCAAGGTTGCATATAAGTTTCTTTTATTGGTCAGCCGTTGGCATACAAAGAAAGATAGCAGAAAAGGGTAAACAACCGGTTAGTTGAAAAAGTCAAAAAGACAAATATCTCCTATTAACTCAGTCAAAATGATATACATAATGCAAAACTGCATACTATTTCTCTCACAGTTCCAAATCACTTAGGTCATTGTTATAAGAACAACCATTAGATTGAAGAATTACACTTAGCAATCATGCTAAAGTACATTATAGTACAGAAAGAGCAACTCATGCCCTTCTGTTTGCCTGTAGTTTTTTTGTAAGATGTGGCAGTTCTATTTCAGAAGCATGAAATGAAAGGGAAAGAGCAACTCATGCCCTTCTGTTTGTCTCTAGTTTTTTTTTTTCTAAGATGTGGCAGTTCTATCGCAGAAGCATGAAATGAAAGCTAAGGAAAGGAAAGTTGCACTTATCTGATGGCTTGTTGTTCTTGTTTATTGCTGTGTATCACCTTTATACACAAGGAAGTACCAAGTTCCTTATTAACTAGATATATCCTTTTGCCGAATACTAAAAAAAAGTAGCTCATGCTGTAATATATGCATTACTGCAAGCCATCAACAACATTAATTAAATTTAAAAAGAATTTGGTAGGAAATGTGAGCAATTAGCCATGCTCCATTTCTATTTTATATTTTCCCATTTCCGGTTGGTGGGTTACATCTTATTTGCAGCGGGCTGCAACTAGTACACAACACAGTTGCACTCAACAAAACGTCCCGTATTGTTTATTGTGAAAATATACACTTTGCGATGTTTTTTTTACATCGTTTTGTTGACAATATACCACAAATAAAAGCTAGCAAAATAAACTCTTCAGCCATGGCCATGACTTATTCTGGTTATTTTTCTCTCGTTTTTATTGTACTGAAATAAAACACATAACATACAACGTCATAAACAAATTCATTTTGTTACCCTTTCTTTAGCATTGCAAAACAAGCCGCGGCAGGTATTCTTTACGCATGCCTGTTCCCACCACGTTCGACTTCAACCAGTGTTTACAAACAAACGGGTGTCTTGCACATGGGATGGGACGTTTATCCGAGTTTAACAGTGCGACGAGAGGTACAAATACATGTACTAATTTGAGCATTTTTCATTTGTCTACAGCAGCCCATGTTACGACGACAATAACCCGTAAAACATTGCAACTCAACAAGGTGCTGCAATGTGGTGACGTGACGCCATAAATCTGATCTACAATCTGTACTGGAGCAAGAGCAGCACCGTAGTTGTGCTCGCCACGGGTGTCGTAGAAATCCAATAAGGTGCTTCAAATTGTACGTAAGATTCTAAATTTCGGGACACAGTTCATCCTCGCCCCGAGACTTTAATCGCATAATGTGTAATGTTTGTCCATAATTATATTTTTATGGATGCACGTATAAGTGCCGTAATCCACAATAATGCTCTGACCGTTTTTTTCACTCACGTTTAACAACATTACTTGTCCTGCTTACGCTATATACCAACCAACCTTGATTCTGTCATCGTATTGACTCTGCTCTCTGATTGGCTGGTTACCGAAGACTGCGTTTGATACACCAAATCCCATTGGCAAAGGCCCCTCTCTGTCAAACTTGTCTTGCCATTTGTCGCTATGTTTGGTTGTTTCGTTTCGTTACCCTTTCTCTCCGCGGTTTGCTGGAGCCGCTGCTGTCTCTTGGCCTTGCATGTTACCACGTCCAAATCCTGACTCAAAATTTGACGCCCTACTCGTGGTTTTGGTCCACAAACACGCACCAGAAGGGCCACAGCCGCGGACGTCTACACACTGGTGTCTCCATTTCACACCCTCCTCCCAGTACACTTGCTTGTTTCCCACAAAACATGGCTGTGGTCAGCGAATCGTCTGGGCCGGTCGCCCGGCTCGAGGGCCGTGAATTCGAATACATGATGAAGAAGCGCTCGGTGACTATTGGCCGGAACTCTTCGCAAGGCTCCGTGGACGTGAGCATGGGCCACTCCAGCTTCATCTCTCGCAGACATCTAGAAATTTTCACCGCCAGTGACGACGGCACCGGCGGCGGAGACTTTTACCTGAGGTGTCTCGGTAAAAACGGGGTGTTCGTGGATGGAGTGTTTCTGAGACGGGGTGCACCTCCCCTGCAGCTACCACGGATGTGAGTCTCGCCTTCTTTTATTTGGGGGACACACAGATGCGACACAAGCAGATAGAAGTGGGTCAACGTCTTTACTAAATACCACCGCGTTTGCTGCCACATAGGCTAGCAGCAGCGAAAGGACCACGTGTTTTAGCATGTTAGCAAGAAAGAACCACGCATCCTGTTTGCAAATCCATTTTCTTTGTTGACATCCCCGATAGCAACAGTAGTAATTAGCCTCCCTTTGCCCCTTTGCCTTTAGTGTGTACAATACAAACAGTCGTGATTCGGTGTTTCTTCACAACGGAGCTTATCAGCCTCAAGATGAACAAGTTGCTCAAATTATTATTATTTGTGCACCCTTAGTTTTAGGCACCCGTGTTGCTGTGTTGTGACTGCAGTTTAAAAATTTAGGCCATGGAAACAGTATAGCATTAGAGCTAACTGTAGCTTTACTGTTGCAAAGGGAGCAGCTTCTTTTCCACTCTAAACGTAAACAAACCCAGCTCGTCCCCGCCCTGCCGCCTCATAACACCAGGACATCACAAAGCCGGGGACCTTTTTCATCCAATGTATTAAGCTGGTGTGACGCAAGCCCGCGTATATAAATATGTTAATTAAGTCCTTCGTTAACATTCAGCATTAATGGATAATGGTGGTTAACATCACAGTCTCTGGCTCTGAAAGAGGGTTTCGCTTTGTACGGCATCAACGTGTTGCATGGTTTTGTCATGGTTCACAGGCTTCATCAGAAAACATACAGATCAAGGTGCAGATTAGTTGAACCCCCTTAAAGTGACCATATTTTTGTAATCTTTACAAGATGTGCTCCTTTGACATGGTCTTGTTGGTGATCTGTTCCATATCTGTTTACTATACTTTAAACTATTTTGAAGGGTTACTAGTAGGGATACACAGAAATTAAAATAGTTGGCGAAAATAAGGAAACCAAGGCCGAAAACAAAAACACCAAAAGAAATTATGCCAATTATTAGTACCATCGCCATCATGGCTATGACTGTGTACTAAACCGCAATAAAATCAAGGCACTGCAATTGCATAAATTGATAATGTTTCAAAGAATACAACAATTACAAAATTGCATTACAACAATGCACAATATAAAATAAAATGTTAAACTTTACCCCACTTATGTGTACATTCAATGATAATGTACAAGCCTACTGGCCTGCTGAAAGATTGTAAAGTTAAACATGTTCTCTCATTAAAAACACAAAGTGCATTTATGTCAATTACTGGATCATGTCTCGTGTGCGCTGCTTTATTCACGCATTCAAGTAATGATCTTTACAATGTGGATCAAGTACACTAGCGACAAAGTGCAGAGGATCCGAACAGATCTTAACACAAAGTGCAGAGGATCCGAATAGATCTTAATATACTGTAACGTTTTTCATTGTTTTCACTCCCTTTTCCGTCTCAACCTCTTTGCTTAGAAGACACTTTAGTGCTGCCGTTAAAGAAATAACATCTGCTACAGATGCACCAGAGGAGCTGGTCTCATTATTAGCTGCTCAAATAGGGCAAGAAAACAGAGGATGTTCTCTATTAAGACACGCTGGTGTGAAGTGAAGCAGTGTCATGGGGACCTTGTGGTCTGCGCTGTATGCAGCCAGGACTCGCTTTTGCGCCAAGAGGCTTTCCTTCCTCTCATATTCCGCATAGTGATCGGGATGTTTGCATTTCGGGTGATAAAGATGTTGGCACTTTCAGACAAGCCCGAGCAACTTTTAATCGTCACCAGGAAGTAATTTCAAATATTTCACTTCTGTCATAACACTCTACACTCCTTCCTAGTTTCAGCAGTTACGCAATTCTTTTAACACTGCTCAGCAGAGATCACATTTTGTCTACTGTAATTTCTGTTTTGTTTGTTTTCAACGTGTGTTAAAATAAGCCCGTTTCAGGCTCTGTGCCCTCAATTAATGCATTTGTTTGTGAGAGTGTCACTCAAGATGACAGAGAAGGAAGAAGTAGATATTTTTAGAATGTTTTCGGGCATAGTCGTGACACAGTGGTGTGACACACCTACAGTATAATATTAACAGTCTTTATCAGGCCAATCCTGTGCTATTGATATAAATATTTCTGAGTGCAGGAGAGAGTGTGCTGGAGATGGAACGATCAGCATTATGCTTCTTCTTACCAGGTGTCACCCACCAGAGTTTCCAACATGTACTCCTGCTTACATTCCCTGCTAAAGTTCCTACTAGCAGAGTCGTGAAGCAAAAACGGAAAAAATATAGAAAGAAAAATATAAATGCATGAATCAAAGGTTGTCTATCCATTTGATGAGAAAAAAAATGTAGCAAGGTTGTCTATCAATTTGATGAGAAAAAAAATGTAGCTATCAAATACTTTAATTCTTTCTACTTACTCCCATTTTATTTAGAAAAAACAAAGACTTTTTAGCCTTACCTTTACTTATAGATGAAGTCCATGGTCGTCTCTCGGTTTTCCCTCACCTTAGCATTGTGGACACTAATGTTTAGTCTCTGTTGCTCATCCAGTGCCAAATTGATCGCCACTGCCTCACCTGTGATTTCTGCCGCGTATTTGATTTGTGAAATTGCTCAAATTCTGCGATTTTTACTTCATAAAATGTCAAAAATGTGTAGAGTCATACTGAAAATGCATCTTTAGCACAGATCAGTGGAAAATATTAATATTTATTTTATGTATTGTTTTCTTTTTTTCATCATAATGGCAGATGAAGCACTGCCTCCCCTGACCGCACGTCACTGCCTCTAAACCAAACATCATTGCAGGTCTCTCTACTGTCTTATAAACATTCTCTTTCAACTTGGTCTGGTATTGATCTGTCATAAAACAGCTGGTCAAAATATTGCCCAAGATATGCCTAAAAACAAACAATGGGAATCTGTCAACTATTTGCTCATGCTTCTATGCTGACGAGAAAGAAATTGTCTGCCAATTTACAAAGCAGAAATGCGTTTGTTTATCAAAAAACCTGCCATTAATGACAAGAAATGGCACCTTTTTTTTCTCATTCATACATATTTTGGCAGTTAAAGCCCCTATTTTAATACATACACACAAGTATGTGACATTTTATTTGAAGATGAGGAAGAAAGAGGTGTCATGTATTGCTCCCCATTCTGAAAGCCACTTGAAAATAGTATAAACTGCTAAGACCTTTGCTTAGTTGTGTAGAAATATTGCTAAAGATTTTATTTGTCCGAAAGTTGGGTAGACAGAACCCCACTTTTAGACATAAATTGGTCCTTTTTCTCCCCGAAATATATACACTGTATATATATATATATACACTGTATGTATATATATATATACTGTATGTATATATGTATATATATACTGTATGTATATATGTATATATGTGTGTGTATATATACTGTATGTATATATGTATGTGTGTGTGTATATGTATGTATGTATGTGTATATATATATATATATATACAGTATACATATAAATAAATAATAGTTGGTCATAGGACCCTCAGTGTTAAGACACCAACTGGTTAGAGATTTGACACATTGCTGCAAGATGTAGACATCATACCAGTGAATTTATTCATTTATTATTTGCTGACTAAAGCTCCTCTCTATCTGCTCTCTCCTACTTAATGTCTGTCAACACCTATTTTCGGGTGCACTCACACTTAGCTATTGGCTATTGTGCTATGCCCTAGGGCAATTGCCTCTTTAAGTGTGGATTCTAGGACTAGTTTGAGTGCAATCTGCTGCCTGCTATGACCCTTTAAATACCCAAAAGTGTGTTTTTGTGCAAAAAGTCTATATAATAAAATAATTTTATAGATAAGATTTTGCATGTAGCATTCAACTTTCATTTCATGTAAAAGGCTTTTCAGTTTTATGAAAATATTTACTATGACACAGTGCATTATTTTCATGGATGGTCTACCAGAAACACTAATTACCGGTTAATATTGGTTAATTTCAGTACTGCATATAATAAGTCTCATACTATTTAGTTTCCCTCGATTAATATAATCATAAAAGTGTTAAATATCATTTAATTTACCTTTTTTTTTTCCTTGTGTCAGGGTAGGGTACACAATATTTAATTTTCTCAAACAATCCCAATAATCGACTAACACCAGAAGAATGGTATTTCGGAAAAAAACGTTGTTGCTCAGGGATGACACTGCATAAGATGAATAACAAGCAGTAGCATTTAGCATTAGCACAGTCAGAAGTAGCCTGGGTTCTGCCATTGTTGTTATTGTGTAGCCTTAAGCAGGCATGATTGGGATAAGAGGTTACAGAAAGGTAGGGATTGATTGGGTTTTGGGAGTTTTCAAAACTTCTCCACTCTAGTACCCGTATTCGGAGAGTTCTCTGCTCTCAAAAATGTTGTATTTGTCTAAACATAGGACTGAATCGGCGCCATTGCTATTGCTGTGGGATCCATCGTCATATTGTTGTCGTGCAAACACCATCTGAGTATTTCGCTACTAACCTTCTGTCTATATTATCAGAGGTGTACACATCACACCGGGTGTCTTGGTTTGGCAGTAAATGAGGGGTGGAACAGATGGAAAATGAAAATGTTTTATTTTAACCATATTTGAGTTGGAGTCAGACTCGATGAAGAAGTAGCTCCAAAAACATTCCTAAGCCAAGATTTAACCTGGATGTTACATGGGGGGGGTTGTTGTTAATGTGCTTGGTAGCCTTTCCCACCTAAATTAATTATAAATAAACATAAGGACTAATAGTCTATTTGCTTTATTTTAAACCGTTTTTTCCCCATAGGATTTTGCACTGAAATAAATTACGCACTCGAGTCTGGCGTCTTTGACAGCGTTTTCCATCGTGCATCTGCGCAATATCATAGCTCATGATTTCCGAAGATATCCTATGTCGGCTAGTGAACACGGCGCGAAGGATGTTCCGTTGAACCCTCACTCCATCTCAAAGCGATCCGCTCTTGTTGATCCCATTGTTTTTCCCCTTTCAGGTGCACATTCAGGTTCCCTAGTACAAACATCAAAATCTCATTTACGGCCTTGTCAACCGGGAAGAAGGTCAAGCGTGAAGCTCCAGAGTCCCCAGTGAAACCAGTCCAGCCACAGATCTCCCCATTGACCATCAACATTCCAGACAACATGGCTCATCATCCGAGCCCCCTGCCATCGCCAACTGACACCATCAGGTACTTACTGCTCTACAAGGGTTTGTTCCCTGTCCTACAGCACATGATACAGCCCGATGGGGTCAACACAACAAATTGTATTTAGCTGGTATTTTTGTTTGTGCCTTTAGCTTGTTTTTAACCTCTTTGAGCAGTTATCCAGTCTTATGCGGATGTCCCTTATTTAAAACATTTGCATTTAATTGCCAAATCTAAATCCCTGGAGGAGTTGGCGGATAGTAGATCACATACCTGAGCAAGAACACGGTATCTTTCCATTTTTTATCCCCCCCCGGAAGTTGCCATTATTCTGGCTTGTGTATCTGGACCGAATGACAAAGCAGCATGGGAAAGACAACTGTTGCTATAGCAACATCCCTGACGCTTACAATGCACTATGCAGGCCAGATCTCTTTGGAAATTGGACTACGCTTACCTGAATACGAGACTCTGGTCAAAAGAACCAAGCCAATTACTGAAAAAAAAAATACTGATGTGGTTTCATAGTGATGAAGAACAACTCAAGGATTAATTTGGTGACACAGAATGTTTTTGGAGAATTGGAATTATGGGTACAGTTCTTGACCAGAATATTAACCTGTTCTTAGAAAATTGAGTTTTGGTGTCAAGATCCTGGAACATTACACGCCTTGTGAAAGTGTCCTTTGGAAAATGTGTTTTTAGTCAATTTTAATCTAACAAATAGTATATTTCTTAAGAAATTGCTTTTTTTTTTTTTTTAGTGTTAGTGGTATTGCATTGTTTTGCCTGGCGCACCTGAGTGGACAATGAATAATTAATCTAATCCATCAGATTCCATTCAGGTGTGTTTTGAAAATGTGATGTTTGCTGTGGTTTCAGTAATTGATTTTGAGATTACAAAAACCTGATTATGTACACCCTAAAAACAACTCAGCCCTGAACAATGATATAATACTGTTGTAACACTGTTAGAACAGCTTCTCTAGTCACTTAAACCGTTTTAACTGTCAACACAAAAAAAACAAAAACATTTTAAACACGCACTAGTGTAAGATATAAACTCAATACATTTTTATTTTAAAATGTTTTTAAAAAATGGACACCATAACTAAATGTAGGTGATTAATGGAATTTTAATATATATATATATACATATATATGTATATATATATACATATATACATATATGTGTATATATATACATATATGTATATATATACATATATACATATATGTGTATATATACATATATACATATATGTGTATATATATATATGTGTGTATATATACATATATATACATATATGTGTGTATATATACATATATGTGTCTGTATATATATATGTGTGTATATATATGTGTGTGTATGTGTGTATATATATATATATAAACATAAGACAGTCCATTTTTAAATCAAAGACCAACAGAAAAAATTCACGCCTACATGATAATCTGCTAAGTTTATCAAGTTTAAAAGTTCTGTTTTCTAAAAGAAGAAGTTTCACCTCTCATCCAAGTTCAGCCTCTTGGATGGTGAGGGGATGGTGAGAGGTGAAACGTCTTCTTTTAGAAAATTCACGTTCAGTTGCCTAACAGAACTTTTAAACTTGACCATGACCTGGATGACTGAGAATCTTCGTAGACATGCTAACTTTATCCTTTCCTCTGATTGCTCATGCAGTTCATATTTATTAACTGAATTATTAAAATAAGTAATAAAGCCCTAATAAAGTTTCATTATCTCTCAAGAAAGAAATGGGATATTACGTTTGTGTGTAAAGGCACAAGTTGGCAACTTTAAATTTAAGCATCTAGCAGATGTTTTTTTCCCAAAGCAACTTACCAGAGGAGGATTAACAATCAAAGTACCAAATGACCTTAAGTTGTCAACTGTTTTCAACTTGGCACTTGGTGTTGATGAGCTTAGGCCAGTAAGCTGATCAACACCTAAGCCCCCCCCTACAAAAGAGCCCCTCCATCAGTTAACCTGACTGACGTAAATGATAATGACAACAGACATGAATGGTGAATAGTATTAAACCTGAAAGAAGTGTTATAATTACTCACATTAAGCTTGATATATTTAAATAGTAATGTCTTTGTGTCTCATACTGTAGTGTAATGAGTTGGGGTAGGAGAGGAAAAATACCCAGAAATTGCTTTAAATGTAGTTGCGACAAATGAATGGTGAATATCTGAGACTCACGAATAAAAAATCTTAAATCATCTAAGCCAGCTTTTAGAAATTAAAATATATTTTCTTCGCCGGGCCCCGCCCTTTGGTTCAGAAGAAAATGTTAGTGAATCTCTTTCATGTATTTTTTCTCATAAGTTTATTGCTATGATATCTTTTTATAGCATGTTACTCTCAAAACCCACTGTTTTGTGTACTGTACTATTCGCCAGTGCTGTTTCACTGCACATAACTGTACTGTACTCTCTACTTTCCAGTGCGGCAAACTCGTGTCCGTCCAGCCCGCGGGGTGCCGGCTTGTCAGGCTACAGGATGGGTGGTCGTATGGTTAGTTCTGCTGAGCTTCAGCTCATAAATGACAACTCCCAATCTGAGAATGACAAAGAGGCCTCTGGAGGGGATAGCCCTAAGGTGAGACTGCTGCCTGTTGGGAGCTCCAAATACATTACACTTGCTGTTGTTTACAAAAATGGGAGTCTATTTAGATGACGACAATTACAAAAATGGGAGTCTATTTAGATGAAGACAGGTTTTCAATGCGTAGACAATATTTTTTTTTTTTCATATCAGTTGTACCATTTCCTGTATTTGGTTTCAAAAGTGAGTTGACTGTGTCGCTTCTTCTTTACAGGATGATTCCAAACCTCCCTACTCCTATGCACAGCTGATTGTCCAGGCCATAACTCTGGCTCCTGAAAAACAGCTCACTCTTAATGGCATCTACAATCACATAACAAAGAATTACCCTTACTACAGGACCGCAGACAAGGGTTGGCAGGTGAGACTCCACCCACCCACGTTTCTGTTGGATCGTCGCAGTTTCA